TAATTGCAATAATTTTCTGGGCAAAGTGGTGCATTATCTGACAGAAATGCAGGGGTGCCAATATTTTTGGCCATGACTGTAAATATTTCACAGCATTTACAGCATTTACAGCAGGTCAGAACTTTGACCCAAGCAACTCAAAGGTTTATGAGTCGTTATCTTTCTTTCAAATAGGCCTAGACTTGGGCCTTAGCTTCAGTTCCCTAAAGGTTTAAGACTTGGCTATTTTGGCTTTCACCAGGAAGAGGTGGAAATTTAAATATTGGTACCCATACACAGAGCACTAAATATTTTGTTATTTTTTTGAGAGAATATTATGTGTAGGTTCCAGGATTGCGGAGGATGGAGGTGGAATGAAATCATCAGTGCAGAGGAGAAGGAGAGAGCAACTGTGATAAAGGAGACCCCACTATAAGGGGAAGGAGCATGAGACCTATTGTCGGGTCAGAACATTAGGGGTGAGAGCATATGGAAATAGTTGTTGGGAAATAAATGTTGGGAGAGATGCATGTGGTGATAAGAAGTTAAAAGTGAAGAATATATAAACACACTAAGGAATTGAAGTCTTGTACAAATATAAGAATTATTGTGGAAATTTCATTTCATATAAACTTTTGGAACTTTATTTCATCACATTTGGGAATTTATTTGATCACGTTTGTTTGGGTATGTGCAACATATTTTACAATGGTATATGTGTGTTAGGATAACGCACTTTATATGTTAGATGGATTAATGCACTTTACAGTATACTGCGTGATACTGTCACATAGGCTTATTTATATTATTGTGGAACACAAGAAGTGTCAGCAGCATTAAGGACACTAGTCTATGAATTTACATGTTTTGGGTTTTTTTTTAACTAATAATTAACATATAGCACACATGCACTTTGGCTCATGGTCACTAGATAATTTTTTTGTTGTATTTACGATCATATAGCACCTGTATTAGAGTGAAACAAGTGGTAGCACTACACTCTCCTTTTTAGTGACTGTGCTGAAGTTTTTAGTGGTTTCATTGTCTGGTCTCCCAAAGAGAGTTGTTTGCTATGGGACATTACCTTAAAAGCAGTATACAGTACTTCATGGTCATAACCTATGGGGGGCATGGTTTCAGAGCTTTAGGCACTGTGTGCCACAGAATCAAATACTCTCTAAAAAAAAAAAAAAAAAAAAAAAAAAAAGAATGTGGAGGGAAATATGAAAAATCATTGATTTCCTCCTTACTTCCTTACTTTAAAAGTGTTGCCATCTAAACCATTGACCAGAGCAAAAACAAAAAGTATCGGATGAGTGGGTAAAGCCCATCCCATGAGACAAGTGGTTAACTGGACAGCAAACAAGACTTGTATCAGGCTATGATGAATAAAAAATTAATTTTATTCTGTTTAGCAAAATTATTAGCAGTAGCAATATTAAAGTGTGAAAGTGTGACGTCACCGACTCCTTATGACGTCAAAGCATTTCGCTTACGTACATGCATAGTCAGGAGAACGTGTAGGCAGCTCCATTGCTCCTTTTAAATGGTAGTTTGCCCCACCTTTTTCTACACATTGTTATTCTCTTAAAGAGGACATTATGTTTTTAGTACCTGACCAGGTAAATAGTTAGATGTCAGTCAAATCTGAATCATAAAGTAAAACATCAACTGGATATAGATCCCTCAATTATTTATGGCGTACATACTACGTACATCATCCCAATGGAGATCAATTTACTGTTCATATTTTAGAGACATATTCAAATAACAGATCTCATTCTCAAAAGAAGCAAGAAATATTGCATACAGCTTATTCTTCCAAAAATACCTGAAGATTCAGTTTGGTATTAAGGCCAAGTGGGGCCAATGATCTCAATTTGTAAATCCACCATTTTTCCTTTTTAAGCAACTCCGTATTGAAATCACCTCGTCTCTGAGATAGTTTAAGGGCAAAAATGCCCTTAATCTTCATCTCTTCCGGGCTACCTTGGTTGAATTTTTTTAAATTTTTAGCAAGTGGTTTTTCCTGATTCTTAGGGTTCCTATCTTTGATTTCTCGTAGATGTTCCCCTATCCTAACTTTTAGTTGTCTCTTGGTCTTGCCAATATAAATATCCTGTTCTTCCCAGATAAAGTGGTACTTAGACCACACCAGCACTTCATCCCCAAGGTGTCCTTAATATTCAATCTTGCAAGCGAGTGGGTGCTTTCATCCTTACCAGCTGATTAGGAGCTTTCTCTCTTCATGAGCTTGGCATTGTCAGAACTCTAAGCACTCATCTTCAGGCCACCTTTTCACTCAGAGCTTCAGAAATGCTGTTTATTTTGCCAATGGCATATAGGGCAGCTAGGCAGATGCCTCCAGTGGGGGTAAATGCTCATTTGACTAGATCCATCTCCACTTCATGAGCAACACATTCTAGAGTCTCTTTTAAGACCATTTGCAGAGAGGAAAAATAGTCATCATAGCACACCTATCTCAGACACTACAACATGGATCCCGGGACCCTTACTACAGTGGACTGTGGCAGAAAGATGATTCAGGTCTCCATGTATTGTGTTATTAAAGTTTGGCTTGTACAGCATCATCCTCCCTATCAGCTAGATAACTATTATTAATATGTTGCCAAGTAAGCACCAGCAACCTGAAAATTGTATTAAATTTTTCGTAATTTTTCATTTCCTCGGCAGTATAAAGGACCCACCCTCAGTCCTGGTATAGTTGCTCAGAATACTGTGGGTCTCTGTATTTACAGATCTTGACTGGTCCTTTAGGTGGAGAAGTGGTGGAGCTCCCTCATTAGTATACTGCCATAAATGGGCACCAGGAAAGGAAAATTATAGTATTTATTTATTACAGGTACTTATATAGCGCCATCAATTTACGCAGTGCTTTACATACAGTATACTGCCATGGATGTACATTCACATCAGTCGCTAACCCTCAAGGAGCATACAATCTAAGGTCTCTAACTTACATTCATGCATACACATGCTAGGGCCAATTTAGACAGGATCCAATTGACCTACCAGCATGTCTTTGGAGTGTGGGAGAAAGCTGGAGCACTTGGAGAAAAACCATGCAGGCACAGAAACAGAATACAAACTCCAGGCAGGTGGTGTTGTGGTTGGGATTTGAACCAATTTGAACTAGTACTGATTTGAACTAGTTCTGCCAGGCAAAAGTGCTAAGCATTCAGCCAATGTGCTGCCCCATAGTGATTGATTGAATTTTCTGTTTTTGGTTTTGGTCTTCTGTGAACATTTTAAAGAACAGAAAGTACATTTTTATCAATGACCTGTACGATTTATAGAATAGAATACAATGTGAGAAGGGGCAGTGAAGCAGAACTGCAGAATTATGGTGTAGCACTGCAAGGCAGCAAGTAATACTTGTATTTGTAATGAGAAAATGTGGTTCCCCTATCCGTGGAAATATAAATTGACAAACTTACAATAGAAGCAAGAGACCAAATGGAGTCCAAGACCTTTTTTATCCCATACTAAGTTGTTTCTAACTGATTTTTAGCTTGAAATACCTTAAAATACCCTTTTTTATTATTAGAAATGTGCTTCCTGTGCTCTCACCCCAGTGGTCTATGCTAGCATAGATGGGTAACAAGCACACCCCTTATCAAATATATCCTTACAAACATTTGTAGCACTCAGAAAGGCAGGGGGCATGTCTAACTAGGCCTGCTAGTCTACGTAGTGCACTGGGCAGTGGGCCCAATTCTGGTGCATTTTTGGACTATGCAGTCAAATTTAGACACATTGCACAACCTATAACAGTAAAGGTGAGATTAAGACTGAAATGAAAATTAAGGTTGCTAGTACTATGCCTATCTGGGTTAATACAGTATATACACTGCTCAAAAAATTAAAGGAACACTCTTTAATCAGACAATAGCATCAAGTCAATTAAACTCCTGGGATACTGATCCTGTCAGTAAGTAGTAGAGGTTGTTAATCAGTTTCAGCTGCTTTGGTGTTAATGAAATTAACAAAAGGTGCACTATATGGGCAACAATGAGATGACCCCCAAAACAGGAATGGTTTTACAGGTGAAGGCCACTGTAATTTTTTTCCCTATCCATCTTTTCTGACAGTTTTTCACTAGTTTTGCATTTGAGTAGGGTAGCATGAGGCAATACCTGGACCCTAAAGAGGTTGCATAGGCAGTCCAACTCCTCCAGGACGGCACATCAATACGTGCCATTGCCAGAAAGTTTGCTGTGTCTCCCAGCACAGTCTCAAGAGCATGGAGGAGATTCCAGGAGACAGGCAGTTACTCTAGGAGAGCTGCACAGGGCTGTAGAAGGTCCTTAACCCATCAGCAGGACCGGTATCTGCTCCTTTGTGCAAGAAAGAGCAGAATTAGTACTTCCAGAGCCCTACAAAATGACCTCCAGCAGGCCACTGGTGTGAATGTCTCTGACCAAACAAGCAGAAAAAGTCTTCAAGAGGGTGGCCTGAGGGCCCGAAGTCCTCTATTGGGCCCTGTGCTCACTGCCTAGCACCATAGCGCTCAGTTGGCATTTGCCATTGAACACCAGAATTGGCAGATCCACCACTGGTGCCCTATGCTTTTCATAGATGAGAGCAGGTGCTCCCTGAGCACATGTGACAGACATTAACCACTTGCCTACCAGGCACTTATACCCCCTTATTTACCAGGCCAATTTTCAGCTTTCAGCGCTGCCGCACTTTGCTTGACAATTGCGCGGTCATGCAACATTGTACTAATATGAAATTTTGATCATTTTTTTCTCACAAATAGAGATTTCTTTTGGTGGTATTTAATCGCCGCTGGGCACTTTACTTTTTGCGCTATAAATAAAAAAATTGCAAAAAATTTGAAAAAAAAAAAAAAGTTTCTTTGTTTCTATTATAAAATTTTTCAAACAGGTATTTTTTCTCCTTCACTGATGTACGTTGATGAGGCAGCACTGATGGGCACTGATAGGCAGCACTGATGGGCACTGATAGGCAGCACTAAAGGGCACTGATAGGCAGCACTAAAGGGCACTGATAGGCAGTACTAATGAGGTGGCACGGATAGGCGGCACTGATAGACAGCACTAATGAGGTGTCACGGATAGGCGGCACTAATAGGTGACACTGATGATGGGTACTGATAGACGGCACTGACTGGCATCACTGCTGGGCACTGACTGGCGGCACTGACTGGCACAACCCCTGGGCACTGACTGGTGGCACTGACTGGCAGCACTGCTGGGCTGCACTGGTGGATGGCACTGGTGGGCAGCACTGGTGGGTGGGCACAGGTGGGTGGCACTGGTGGGCACAGGTGGGTGGGCACAGGTGGGTGGTACTGCTGGGCACAGGTAGGTGGCACTTCTGGGCACAGGTGTGTGACACTGCAGAGTGGCACAGGTGGGTGCACTGCTGGGCACAGGTGGGTGCACTGCTGGGCACAGGTGGGTGATCTGCTGGGCACAGGTGGGCGGAGCTAGTGGGCGCACTGCTGGGCACAGGTGGGCGGAACTTGCGGGTGGCACTGCTGGGCACCGATCACCAGGGCACTGATCATCAGTGCCCTGATGATCGGTGCCGATCCCCGCTCTGACAACTGCCGATTCTCGGCAGTACTTTCATCACGATCTGACAGCGTGAGGAAAGTGCAGCCGAGAAGCGGCACTTGCATTTCCCTGTGATCAGCGTGTCATTGGACACCGCTGATCACGTGGTAAAAGGCCGCTGTGATTGGCCTTTTACCACATCACGTGATCAGCTGTGTCCGTAGGACACAGCAATCACGGAGATCGCCGGTGTGCGCGCCCCCTGGGGCGCGCAGGAGAGCGCGTTCTGGGAGGCCGTCATATGACATCCACTCAGAACTGGCCGGCCGCAGTGCAGCCGTCATTCGGCTATCTGCGGTCAGCAACTAGTTAAAGGGTCTGGAGAAGCCATGGAAAATGTTATGCTGCCTGTAACATTGTTCAGCATGACCGTTTTGGTGGTGGGTCAGTGATGGTCTGGGGAGGCATATCCATGGAGGGACGCACAGACCTTTACAGGCTAGACAATGGCGCCCTGACTGCCATTCGGTATCAGGATGAAATAATTGAATTGGATGATTCCATTGAATGCCCCCCACACTCGCCTGACCTAAATCCAATAGAACACCTTTGGGATATCATGTTTTAGTCCATCCTACTCCACCAGATTGCACCTCAGACTGTCCAGGAGCCCAGTGATGCCCTGGTCCAGATCTAGGAGGAAATACCCCAGAACACCATCCGTTGCCTCATTAGGAGCATGCCCTGACGTTGTCAGACATGCATACAAGCATATGGGGGCCATACAAACTACTGAGTACCATTTTGAGTTGCTGCAATGAAATTTCAGCAAAATGGACTAGCCTGCTGCATAATTTTTTCACTTTGATTTTCAGGGTGTCTTTGAATTCAGTCCTCTGTAGGTTGACCGTTTTTATTTCCATCAAACGATGGGGCGTCCTTACGTTCCTAACACATTACCCAGTCCATATCAGTATAGATATCCAGCATGATATTTTTCCCCAATGAGATCTGAAGTGTTTTCAGAGTGTTCCTTTAATTTTTTTGAGCTGTGTATTTCTTATCATTTAAAAAGGCTTTACTACAATAAGACAGCTTAGGCTGGCCATAGATTATGCCATTTTTTTTTCCATCAACAACGGCTTAAAAAAAAGAAAATCCCTTGATTCCCATTGCACTACTGAATTCTGATAGCAGGAAGTTTCCCAGCTATCAGAATACAAGTGATCACTGCTAGCAGCTATAGCCACCAGGAGTGACCATATGAAAAAAGCCTGACAGGCTGGTTGTACTGAAGTTAATTGATAGATCAAATTCAGTACAACCAGCTTGCCCATAGACAGAGTGTGCTCATAGATGGATCTAAATTCTGCTTTTGGTCAGGTTAAAAGGGCAACAAAAGATAGCAATGAAAGTGAGCGCTCTTATGGTAAGCAGCTGAACACCCAAGGAAACCAAAAAAAAACTTAGTCTTAAACATATAAAATATGTGCAGCGCTAATCAACAAAACAAATGGAGCAAAATATAATAAATGTCCCAAATAGTATAAAACTGTAAATAAGTGACAGTCTGTATGATAGCGTGAGATATGACTTCAATCCAGTGGTGGTGCTCCCTGTGGTAAGGTAAGAATTACGCACTCGCCAGAAGCGTAATAAAATTACGCAGTGTGTATATCAACCAGGAATCCCTTCACAGGTAAAGGACAAGACTGGAACATAAGGTGGTTCTCTCTCCAGGTGGTAAGGATATGAGCCCTCAGAGGATGTAGACTGATCCAGCTGGCCAGAGATCCCTTTAAGGGATGGATGGGTAGAGATGCCTGCTTACAGATGCTTCCCTCTCGTCCAGGAACTAAGATGGCCACTGGGCCTCCACGTGGCAACGGCGATGGGACGTCACGACGTCCTAGGCTCCTCCTAACGCGTTTTGTGCGCACACACTTCTTCAGAGGTGGAGACCGAGTGACTCCATGATCGTGAAGCCAGCAATTTAAACAATAGATGGTGCCATCTTGCCGAAGTCTTAAGACAATAGTACTCAGTGCACTTGCGCAAAGCCATTTTACCATGGATAGGAAAATCAATAAGACGTATATTGCTAAGTACCTGTTCGTATGGAAAACTAATAAGGTGCATTAATATATGAAACGGTAAGTATGTAATCATTTAAAAGACGAAGAACATCTCATGGAAAATAAAATATGAACAGATTAAAAGTAACTCAAATGAGAGCAATCCAAAACATATATAGAGAATTGGACGACATGATATCAATATGTCATGAATCCAAAATGGAAAACAAATAAAAAGGTTAAGAACCACTTTAATAATAATATAAATCCAATTAAAAATTAGTATGAATATTAAAGCACCTATGTGTGATAAAAATGTATAAATATAATAAAAAGCCAAAAATAAATTTGCATAAGTCAAAAATACATATATTAAAAAAGATCCATGGTAAAAAGGGAATAATAGCAAGATGTATGGGTAAGATGATATAATAAGTCATAAAATATTAAAGATGTAAAATATCCAAATAATTCTGTAAGAGCCCCGTATCAAAGAACGAAGGTAAAACAAATGTGATAACATAACATGAATATGTAAATTCCACCAAAAAACATAAATCTCATATAAATCAAAAAAGCTTGCTAAGCATATAAGACCGAATTGATAAAATAATAGATAATGTGGAATAAAAAGTATAAAGGAAAAGGTATAATAAAATCAACTATTATCGATGAAACAATTTACATCGATCTCTACATTAAGCCCTGCTGGGTATGAGGTACCCAATTCGTAAATAAGCTTCGTTTCTAATTGGGAGACAGCCCTGGTTTTATAGGTGCCCCTCCAATGAGCGGTTACCATATCGATCCCAATAAATCTCAAGCTGGATGGATCTCTATTATGGAATCGCCTATAGTGAAAAGAAAGGGAATGTTCTTTATATCCCTTCTTAATGTTATTGATATGCTCACGAAAGCGATCCTTTAATCTTCTAGTTGTCCTGCCCACATACTGCTTAGAGCATGGACATTCCAGCAGATAAACCACAAATTTGCTGTTGCAGCAAATTAACTTATCTATATTATAAGACTTATTAGTTTGTTTGGATGTATACACATTGATTCTCTTTTTCCCCCGTATTATTGCATCTGCAGGCGATGCATTTGTTACAGGGAAAGAAACCGGTAAGATTAAACAATGAAGGTGGTTCAGCAGGTAACGTAACCACATTGGGAGCTATTTTGTCTCTCAATGTGGTAGATTTATGAAAAATAACCTCTGGTATATCAGGTAGTATTTTAGCTAATGTAGAGTCAGCTTTTAGGATACCCCAATTCTTTTTTAATAATGTGCCGAATAGCCCTATGTTGGACCGAAAATGTAGTGGTAAAGGGACATATCAAATTCTTTGTGGGTTTGTTGTTGGTACTTAATAAATCATCCCTGTTCATATTAGTCACAGATTCAAGGGTGTTAACTAGGACCTCCTTGTTGTAGCCTTTCTCAAGGAATCTATCTTTTAATGTGGCGGCCTGTGAATAATAGGTATTGACATCTGTACAATTCCTTCTGAGTCTGAGGAACTGAACCTTAGGAATGTTGGCAAGCCAACTGGGATGGTGACAGCTCCACAAAGGGATATAGCTGTTACGATCCATTGATTTAAAGTATGATTTAGTAATAATTCTACCATTTACATTCATCAAAGTAAGGTCCAGAAAGTCAATCTCAGTGGTGCTATAATTATAGGAAAGGCTGATGTTGATCTTATTGTTATTAAGTGTTTTAAAAAAATTAATAAGAGGCTGCTCAGTGCCATTCCAAAGTAGAAGTACGTCATCTATGTAATGCAGATGAAATGATAATTCCGGCCATTCCATCACATAAATATTGTCCTCTTCCCAGTAGGACATAAACAGGTTTGCTAAGCTGTGGACAAATTTAGCCCCCATAGCAACACCTCTAACCTGTAAAAAGTATTTATTGTCAAATCACATATAGTTTTTCTGCATAGCAAAACTTAATAGGTCCAATATAAAGTCAATATGCGGTGATGATAATAAACTTTCATGTCTCAGATAAAACACTGCTGCTCTCATCCCTTCAATATGATCTATATTACTATAAAGAGCTGCCACATTGGCAGTTACCAGAAATGTGGATGGAGTAGTAATAATATCTTTAACAGCATTAAGGACCTGTTTAGTATCTTTTAAGTAGGATGGGGTTTGCACCACAAGAGGCTGGAGATAATTATTGATATATGCTCCTATTCTGGAACACAGCGACCCTGATTTACTATTGTGCCTAGACACATTTCTGTGGGCTAACGTCTACTTTTTAATAGCGACCGTCTACTTAATTACTTTAATAGCGACCGTCTACTAAGAACTAGACGCTTTTCCAGTGTCTATGGCCAGATATAACTGAGCATGTGCAGAACACATTTTAGACGTCTTCTGTGGGCGCTTTCTTTTTAGACCCTGTTCAATAGTAAATCTCAGTGTGGAGTCCTCTGACAGCCGGCACTCAGTCGCGTCTACTGTGTTTAACAAATAGCACTAGGCATATCTTTATGTATTCTAATTTGATTTCCTTAGTTCTATTGATTCTATTTTTGTTTCTTATCCTTTATAATTATTTCTGTAATGATTTTACTTATTTTGAAGGTCTAGATAATATTTATTTTGACAGCTGAATGTAAAAATAAAGGTCTACAATAAAAAAAAAAAAAAAAAAAAAAAAACTGCATGGGGTCCCTCCTCCCATCCATACCAAACCCTTCGGGTCTGGTATGTATATTAAGGGGTAACTCCATATAAAAAAAAAAAAAACAGTGTGGGGTT